ACACACGTACGCAAAAGGGCAGATAAAGGCAAGCCGAGGGTTATTTCACATCGTCTCATGTCACGACTTAAAGGCGGGGCCACAAAGAACCCTGGACTTACTAGCCAAGAGCTTTTCAGTCGCATTGGGGATCCTACTGTGTCTAAAAGTACTCGGTGTCAGTATCTGATGGAAATGGCAACAACAGTCAAACCTGTATCGAAGCCTCCGTTGACGAGAAATTACATTCAAAATCGATTGAAATGGGCCGAGGACAATATGAAGATTGACTTCTCTAAAGTTTTGTTCACAGACGAAACTTGAGCAACACTTGATGGGCCAGATAGATGGTGCAAAGCCTGGGTAATGAACGGACAGAATCGCCATCAGCGTTTGAGATGCCAACAAGGCGGTGGAGGCATAATGATTTGGGGTGGTATTATTGGAAAAACATCAGTGGGCCCATAGAGAGTACCAGATGGCATCAAAATGACTGTTGATGCATACATAGCGTTTATGAAGGAGCATCTTGAACTGTGGATGAAAAGGCAAAGAGTTGCCTTCAGAAGGGCCATTGTTTTTATGCAAGATAATGCTCCCTCACATGCTGCTCACAAGACTACTGAATATTTGAAACAGTTAAGCTTCGATGGACCTCCAAAAATGAAGTGGCCAGCAAATTCTCCGGATTTGAACCCAATCGAAAACCTTTGGAGCATCATGAAGCGAAGACTGTACGCCAACGGATGACAATTCAGGAGCAACGCTGAGTTGTGGGAAGCAATTCTTGACATATCTCGTGGCATTACAGCAGATGTCATCCTACAATTAACAAATTCTATGGATTGTCGACTTCTTCAAGTAATTTCAAAACAGGGAAAGCACATTCCCTATTAATTTTTTTAAAACTGTGCCTTTGTTTGTATCTGTTATTTGTTTGATTATCTTATTTATTAGCTTCTTTTGATCATAAACATCCATGTGCAACATTAATAAACGTTTTGTGTGCTCAATTCTGGGATTTTTACTAAACCTTTCTAATAATTTGGCATGCTCAAATCACCGGACTGATAACAATAAATTTCAGTGATTGCGCAGGTCAGTGTTGCCAACATTGTGTGAAAATTTTGTGTGAATTGATTTGACGGTTTTTGAAATATTATAAAAAAAAGTTATCTTGATAATAATTTGGCACGCAGTGTATATATGTCTATCTATATATATATATATATATATGTGTGTGTGTGTGTGTGTGTGTGTATTTGCGTATATATATAAATGTCTACGTGTTCATGTATTATAATCTGATTGTGTATGTATTGTCTTTTGCAAGATTTCACTCTCCCCTGCCCATATCATCACTTCAAATGTATCTAAGTTGTAACGAAGCTCAGAGTAACATTAGATTTTAACGTTTATTCCAACTGAATTTTTGGGATTTCAATAAAAACAAAATAAATAACAAAACATATATTTTTTCCTCAGTTTCTTCTTTAAATAATTTTATAATTTTTGAACTTAATACAGATTAAATTTAAAATTGGTAATTTTTAAGTTTGAATTTCATAGTAAAATTTAATATTAATTAGTTAGAATGATTTCTATTTTAGTCTAACCCCCAACATTAAAGCATTAATTATTATAACCAAGGTTCGTTGTCAAGTTTTTTGAATTCTCAAGTACTTGTATTTTGATTAGTCATTGCAGCTTATGTAACAGTGTTTTCCTTAAGGAAATAAAAGTTGAAATTCTGAACTCTTGTCTCATATTCATCTCTTGATCTAAAACGTTTTCAGTGAACAACAAAAATAAATGAATTAGCTTAGCCATTCCAATACTTTTGGAGGTGACTAGTACATTTGTATCTGTGTAGGCACCTGATTGAGGTTATGACCACTTGTCCGGATTATGTTATGGCTATCATATAATGCTTAGTAATGGAGATCAAAATAAGAGTTTGCCGCAGGGTATTATTTGCAAGCTCATATTGCAAATTCTTGTCCTCACTGAGTTCTCTCCTACTGTGACCTCGTGTATGCTGAAAGTACTTTTAGTAAATGTCTGTACTGACAAGATTACATTGTTGCAGTATGTTTTATATGTGACATGTCCATGGAATTATAGAGGAAGATGTACCTTTACGCATTATGACATTAAGGGTTTTTAACCCTCTATAATGGAAGAAATTTTGGGTAAAGTTTTGGACATGGCAAGAAGACATATTAATAAATAAATTGGGTAAAGAAAGAGGCTTAAGGGCTTTTTGTCATTTATGATGGAAAGTTTTAATTGAGTGAAGAAAAAAATTGTTGCATTTCTTTAAAGCACTCAGTTTCTCAATTGAAGTAGGAACCTATTTGTATGAAGCCTGCTACCTGGATGATACCATCAACCTACAGAAATGCACTGTATCAAAATGCTGAAAACAGTTATGTAGTAACTTACATAAATAATGCTTCTAATCATTCACTGTCTTGAGGCAGGTGCCCAAATCTTTACAAAAAGAATTTACAAACTGTAAAAACAGCAATATCTACAATAATTTTGAAAAATAGATTATGGAAGAAGACTAAGAAGTAATGAGCCATGTCAGTGTATACTACTCTGACCCTGAACAGGGCAAGTCTGATTTTGATCCCCAGACACTGCTTTGTTATCCTTGCTATCTTATCAAACATTTGTTTTTTTCTATCTTTACTTGTATACATTACAAATCAAACTAAGTACAACTGACTGTTAGGGATGAAAAATGTTCATATTTTTGATCTTTTTTTTTTGCACATGTTAAATATTGAAAGAAAAAAAACTATAAAATTCACTTTCTTTTTTTATTTTATAATTTAAAATGTGATAAAAAATATTCAAGTTGTTGGTCTTAAACATTTCCACAAAATATTTTTGATTTATTTTAAGACAGAATGATTTATGACATGTCTTTAATTGACATTAGGTAAATTGCAATTATTTTTAATTTTTTTAGTTGAATTCACTTACCTATATATATATATATATATATATATATATATAAAATTGTAGCCTCTGTCTGTTATCAAACTCTTCCTAGGGTTTTGGAGATAGACTCCCATAACCATATATATTTTGAAACTACATTAAGCAGGGTACTTGGATAAGTATATTTCATTCTGATCAGAGAGGATCCTCAGTGGGCACAACCACCCTACTGAAATTTTGTTTCCCTTTTGATGTAAATTAAATTTAAATTTGAACATGGAAATGACTCCTATCCAAAATATAGAAGTAGAAAGCCAGAAGATGGAGGTCACATTGGTAAGATCATTGAGTAATATTGAAATGCATCATTTTATCCTGACATTTTATAACAATGATTTAAAATCAACCATCGTTTTCTTATAAAAAAAAATGTGTGACATGCAGCAAGGTGCGAGTAATTTGGCTAGTATTGCTATGATCCCTTATTGTATATAATTAAGTTACAATAAAATTTGTATTTTATATGAATACTACCTTATGAAAATTGAAATGTAGTAGAGTGGGGGGGGCATATTAAAAATTGGGGGGGGGACACTTACACTGGACCTGGTAACGGGTACCATTTTAAGTTATTGTATTGATGAAATACCAAAAACAGAAGGAAAAAGAATATAATCTGTTAAAATCTACCATTGTAAAATATATATTATAGAGACTATTTATTAATTTGATGAGTATTTCTCAAAAGGACGCATACTGAATAATAGAAACTAAAAATTCATTTACAAATAAGACATTTAATAAAGAAACACAATTATGAAGACTGGAGTTAAATCTGCTATTCTAATGGAACTGACCAATCTATGACAGGTGTCGGCAAAAAAATCTAATAGGTCAATCAACCAGTAACATGGATGGCAAGCCTGACCGTTTTTTTACAAGCCACAGAAAGATTTTACATTTATGAGACATCCTTTTAATTATAGACAATATGAAAACCGTATCATACTGTCCAAATATCTATGGGGACAAAACTGACAAATCTCTTGGAATTGAATGAAAAATTACAAAAACTGTGCAAGCTTGAAAAACGGTCTTGTGGCCTATTTTTACAGGAAAAACTGTAAATTCTAACATTTTCAGAGCAAGAAGAATGTCTCCTTAACAAAGGGCCAGTTTTTTAGCAAATGCTAGCATATGAGCAACTGGAGTCATTTAGCCCCTACTGAGGTGTGGGAAATATATTTATTGTTAATTTTTTCCAATCAAACCACTCTGTTACAGTGGCAGACACCTACTCAGGCACATTTGTTTGTTCTACACTCACAGAGCTTACCTGTAATTTAAGCAGCAACTCTGCTGAGCAGACCTTAGTTACAGTTTCTGGTAGAGTGCATAATCTTTCACAATCAACATTTTGGAAGAACTTCAGTACACTCTCAGTGAATAACTTGTGACTTTGTGCTAGTACAACCATCGATTGTCTCAAACCAGTTCCATCTACCCAATTTCCCTTATAATAGTTGGGTCAACCTGTGCTATGGATTTTAGGCACTTTCTAAAAGTGCTGCATGCTGGCATTGCTTTGCCAGACTGATATCAAGAAGTCCCTTTTTCTGGCATCTCAACCATGGTAAGATTTGAACCCAGGTCTCATGGTTAGAATGTGAATGTTCCATGTGCCTATATATCTCTTGTTGCTGAAGAGAAAGAGATTCTACACTTTGACCTCAGTTTGGTTACTTAGTAACTCCATGTTAATCTGAGCCAAAAGTTCAAATTCATATGAAAATAAACCACTTGTTTCATGAGTCCTCTACCTGTGTTTCCTTTTTTTTTTTTTGTAACTAATAGAAATTTTTTTAATGTGCAAGTTCTTCATATTCCAGAGTTGAAGATGGAAATTTCAAATTGAGAAGAAACCATGTGTCTTTTAAAAACAAAATATAAAAAAGCCAACATTGCAAGACAATTTATTTTTTGCAGGCAGAAAAACGAAACATCAGTGTGACTCTAAGTGGATGGATCTTTGGTGTGTTTGCGTTAACACGAATTTTCATGTCCCCATTATGTGGAAAAATGGTATGTAACTTTTTATTCCTAATTTCTGACTTTTTCATTTGTACACATTTAAAACTAAGAATTTAGATAAAACTTTATCTTTTATTTTCCACTTACAAAAATAATTGTATAAAAGTGTGTGCCTGTTATTCTCCACCCACTCCACTTCGTATTGTACATTCAATCCCTAATTTTTGTTTGTTTTTGTAAGATAAAGAGGCTTTTAAGAAATAACACATTATTTTAAATTTATTATAAATGACCAGGTTCTATACCTCTCCACTAAAATCTGGTAGCTTGAAGTGACTGAGGAAGATGCTTTTAAGTATTTACCTTAAGCTTAGTTCTTATTTTCACTGTTTATTTCAGTTTAATATT